GACTAAATATTACCAAAATTCTTTGCCCTATTATTTCTGCTTGGCATTAAACAAACACACATACACACACACAAACTACTGTATTTAAACTAACATTATTTTTTTACATTTCACTTTTAAGAAGAAATGCAAACTCTGTAATAAAGACATTATATCAACTTCCAATCTTTATTACATACAAACCTATAGTGGTGCCTTGAGAATGACCCACGTAAAACACTTGTCTTTGGCCAGTTTTATTCAGAATGAAGTTAACTGAAGCTGGTAGGTCATATTTTGCCATCTCGTCATAGCTGTAATCCAAAAAAGGGGACTCATTCATTAAAACAGTAGATAAAACAGAAAATACAAAGTGAGCAGCTTGATGACTTATCAAGAACTGAACACAGCTGGGTAAGCTAGCACTGAGTTCAGGAAACTGAACATTGTCAGGACCACAGAAGATCCCTTAGGCTCCCTTCCAGTCATCCCTCCCAAAGGTAACATCATCTTGAATTTTCACACCATAAGTTAGTTTCACCTGCTTTTAAATTTTTCCATAAGTGGGATCATACCTGGCTTCATCATGCTGGTGCATGGAGCTGTAAGTTGTTCATTCTTGTTCCATTGTGTACATATACCACTCTTTATTTGCCCACTCAATGCTGACATGCATTTGGATAGTTTCTAGTTTTTCACTATTACAAATAGTATGACAATAAACATATTCTTCTACATGCCTTTTGGTAAAAGCTCTCATTCATTCTTGTGCATCATGTCCTTAGGGAGGCTCTGGTTTTACAAATGAGAAGCAAGCCTGGGGCGTCCATAGTGCTGACCTTCTTGAATACCTGGCACCAGGACATAGCCCTGGATCCAGCTGTATGGATGGGTGCACGTGTGTGTGTTCGTCATCAGGAGATAGATGACCAATTGTTACCAAACACAATGTGCCAGGTTCTGTGCAGGCTCTTTCCCTCTGCCCTCTGCTCTAAGCCCCTAATGACCTTATGAAGTAGGTATTTATTATCTCCATTCTACAAATAAAGTCACTGAGACACAGAGGATTTATGTAACATGCCCAATGTCGTACAGTAAATAATCAGTAGAATCAGAAGTAAGAGAGAGAAGAGGAGAATTTCTGGAAAGAATAAATGGAACATTTGGAATACGTGTTTCTGAAGGAGGGAGGAAGGTATGGGCATTTACCCAGCAGCTTCCACACCATCAAGAATGCCAAAACAACTCAGGAATTCTTAATTCTTAGAATAATCTAATTCTTAAAATAATCATTGACTTATCATTTATGTTACTGCTAGTTATTAAATTCCCAGCAAGGTTTAAAAACTTTCAAGAGACATCAGTTTCCCCACTTGTTTGATTTCTATCTGCTTCTTCTGCTGAAATCCCCATGTGTCTACATGAAGGGTACTAAGGAAATAGACCCACGTCATATTCCATTCAAACATACCTGAAAGCCCAGAACTCATCTTGGTCTATGGAAAGGGTCTTATGTTTCCGAGACCAGGTGTTTCCCCTGCTGTTCCCCATCCACACATCGAAACCAGCATCGGCAAGAATGAAGCCCAGGCTGCTATTGGCAAGGTTTGTGACCCAGTTACTGGAATCTGCCAGCAAGCCATGCTGCAGAAAGACAACTGGTTTGGGACCTGAAAAACATTCATGTTTAGGAAGTAGAAGCACCAAGCTTCAAAACAAACTCATTATCTTGCCAAACAAATAATTCTTAAAAGATCCCAAAGCAAATAATAAATAGAAACGAATTAAAATATTGAGATAGCAATGTACTACTATATAATGTAAGTGAAGGATTTTTTT